CACATACAGTGCCGGACTAACAACTCGTTATTGTACGTGATGATGCAAAGGGACTGCCTACAGCCTGGAGTATCAGGGAGGAGAGGAGACCAGTGTAGCGGTAGTTAAAGTGACATTAAAGGCAAATTTTTTTCCCCCTCACCCTAACGTTAATTAAAGCACTTACCTTAAATGATGTCTCTTAATCCGATCTTCTTTCCTGATGCTTTCAGCCTTCTCTCCAGCGCTGCGGCTGGGGTGTCCGATCCAGCGCTGACTCCTCTGGGCTTGCTGGCACTTCCTGTCCCACGGTGTCTGCATGCGGGTGCAAGCGTCTATAGACTTACCTTGCGTCCCTCGCGCCCCGGCCAAAAATGTGAATTGCGCATGCGCGCTCCCCAAGATCCTTTGCGCCCCCCATAGAATTTTCACATTTTCGGACGTGAGCACGCGGCGAAGACACAGGTACGTTTAAACCACTGTTAAAACGGGTTTAAAAAAAACAAAACTTTTTGCATATATCTACTTCTTGCAATTCACATAACAGGTCCTCTTTATGGAGACATCAGTGGTCTCCAAGACCCCTAATGTCACCTAGGGACACCCAGAGAAGCTGATGAAGCAGAAATCTGGCATCTGTTGCCGGAGAGTGACACTGAATGCGAAAGTGATGTAATATACATTACTTCCTGCATTCGGGGACGGAGAGGGGATCAAAGGGAGATTGTGTACTGATCTACCTTTGATCTTCACTGGCAGTCGCCGTGCCAGTCCCAGCCGCACCGGGCACAGCAGATCTCGGGAGCAGCGGCGACGCACCTACTACAAGCGATCAGGCGTCTCTCACTTGAGCCAGTGATGGCTGTTTACATTTCTGACAGTTTCCTCACTTGTGTGCGCACTGGGTGCTGCGCACGAGTGGGGGGGGGGAGGGGAAGGATGCCCTCCTGCTCCTATAAATCTCCTGTCCGTCCAACCATTCAGGAACGGCCATGGACGGGAGGAGGTTAATAGTTGAGGTACTTTCATGCATTTTTAAGATTAGAGTTTAGGGTCGCTCTAACGTACATACTTTACTACAGCCCCCAGACACAAATGAGCACCTAACTGCGTGGGCAGTATTTTTTTTGTTTGTTCAGAGATGGGCTCTTGGTTGCAGCAGCAAAGCAACCAAGCAGCCCGTTTTTCAAGAAGCTCAGTGGCTGCAGGAGCCCTCACAATACAAGCTTTCCACTGCTGCCACAGCAACATTAGCAAAGGAGAGCAGTAATCAAGCATGAACTGTGCTTGCGCGATTTTATGCAGTTGCTAGAGTGGATGGGACACTGTTACCAGGAACAGGAGTAGGGAACTATGAGCAATATGGTAACTTTCAGAATGAGGGAGAGCAAGAGCACCACTGTCTATACTCATTATCATGGTGCTCTGTGGATTAAATAACAAGTAGGCTGGAATCAGGAGAATGGTTTTATTTGTTAATAATTTATTTTTGGTTTGAAATCTTAGATATGGTTATTCTTTAACACTTAAACCACGCTGACACTACCTTTTAGCCTCCTGCCGTCCGCCCGTTATCCATATAACTATGAATAACTATCTACTTCTGTTTACCACCTGGTGAGTGATTTTCTGCCCTGTGTAAAGGTGCCTATACACCTTGCGATTATCATATGAAAAACGAACGCGAACGCATTTTCATACCATAACCGGCAAGTTGATGGGAAGTCCATGATCGCAATGACTGTACAACTGGCCGGATTTCGTTGGACAGGCAGACTAGAAAACTTTGGTCGAAATGGACAAAAATCGATGGATTAGTGGCATTTTCTTACAACAAAAATGTTTTTCTTAAAACAAAAAAAACATGAGCACATGCGCAAACGAAAATCAGTTCTGTCGATCAATGAAATTTGGCCAGTTAGTATTGCTAACGAACGATAATGGAAAACTACATTGGTCTGTGCATGATGGCGTTTTCGAGCAGAAATTGAACGGGTCCAATGACGGGACTAAAAAAATTGACCGATAATTGTAAGGTGTATGGCCAGTTTAAGAGTAACTTTAGTTTTGTACTATTATAGAAACTTTAATTAGCTTTAAAGTTAGAATGTTTACTCAGTGTTTTGATTAAGAATTGATACCTTACAAATATACTTTTTTTCTTTTTGTGTAGGCACCTGAGCCCCTAAGTACACTGAAATCGATGGCTGAACGAGCAGCTATTGCAACTAATTTAGAAGATCCAGTGCCTTCTATGCACCTGGCCGAGCGAGGTAAGCAATACCAGTTCTATTCTACTAATATACTTTGTTTTTATATATTTCAAATCCGTGATTCATGATGGCTCTTTGTGAGGCATATAGTGAACAAAGTTTTGTAGACTGTATTTCGATTGATATTGGGAGTAGTTCAGATAATTGCAGCAAAATAACTATTATAGTTCTAAAATAAGTTTAGAAAACTAAAGTTTGTGAAACACAGATTTGAAATGCTTTAATCAGTCTGCATTAAAGTAGAACTCAAGGGAATTTTTTTTAGGTCTACTGTTACTAGCTTTTGGAAGTATTAAAAATCTGTGCTTACCTTTCTGCATAGCAGCAGGTTGGTTTTCCAGAAATCCATGGTACAAGTCTGTGCTTCCTGCCCTCTGCCCCCTTTATTTCCTTTCTGTTAGACCACTAAGCACTGTGCAGTCTATCAGCCTAGCCTGTGGTCTAATAACCACCACTTGTAGTCCTATTGCAGCCCGCAGATAAAGATGACATCCCAGCATGCACTGCAGTGGGTGGAGTAGGGAAGCTAAACTGTGTGGATGGAGGAATCTCCCACTTGGCCAAGCTTCAGTGTCTTGCTAGGCGGCCCCACTGGCTCTCAAAATACCTGAACAATGCCTGCATCCAATCAGATTGTTCAGGTATTTTGAGAGCCAGCGGGGCCGACTAGCAAGATACTGAAGCTTGGCCCAGTGGGAGGGGAGATTCCTCCATCCACAGAGTTTTATCGTAGATGGAGGAATTTGTTGCACTTTTCCCATCTGACCCTAAAACCATAATAATTATTTGATCCCCTGCAGATTTTGTAAGTTTGCCCACTTACAAAGAAATGAAAGGTCTATAATTTACATTATAAATGATAGAGACAGAATATCAACCAAAAATCAGGAAAAAACACATGATACAAATGTTCTAAATTGAGTTGCAGTTCAATGAGTGAAATAGGTATTTGATCCCCTACCAACCAACAATAATTCTGGATCCCACAGACTGGCTATGTGATGCACAGATTAGTCCTGTCAATTTAAGAAGGTGCTCCTAATGACAACTCGTTATGTAAAAGACACCTGTCCACAGAATCCATTTCTTCCATTCAAACCTCACCACCATGAGCAAGACCAAAGAGCTGTCAAAGGTTGTTAGGGACAAGATTGTAGACCTGCACAAGGCTGGAATGGGCTACTAGACTATCAGCAAGAAGCTTGGTGAGAAGGAAACAACTGTTGTAGCGATTTTTCGCAAATGGAAGGAATACAAAATAACCATCAATCACCCTCAGTCTGGAGCTCCATGTAAGATTTTGACTCATGGGGTAAGGATGATCATGAGAAAAGTGAGGGATCAGCACAGAACAGCACGGGAGGACCTTGTAAATGATCTCAAGGCAATTGGGACCACAGTCACCAAACAAACCAGTGGTAACACAATACACCGCCATGGTTTGAGATCCTGCAGTGCCCACAAGGTCCCCCTTCTCAAGAAGGCACATGTACAGGCCCATCTGAAGTTCCCCAATTAATATCTAAATGATTCAGAGAAGGATTGGGAGAAAGTGCTGTGGTCAGATGAGGCCAAAATTGAGCTCTTTGGCATTAACTCAACTTGCCGTATTTGGAGGAAGAAAAATGCGGACTATGACCCTAAGAACACCATCCCCACAGTCAAGCACGGAGCTGGAAACATTATGCTTTGGGGCCATTTCTCTGCTAAAGGTACAGACCAACTTTGCCGCATTGAGGGGCCATGTATTGTAAAATCTTGGATGAGAATCTCCTTTCCTCCGCCAGAACACTGAAGACGGGTCATGGATGGGTCTTTTAGCATGACAATGACCCAAAACATACCGCCAAGGCAACAAAGCAGTGGCTCAAGAAGAAGCACACTAAGGTCATGGAGTGGCCTAGCCAGTCTCCAGACCGTAATCCTATAGAAAATGTATGGAGGGAGCTGAAACTACAAGTTGCCGAGGGTGACAGCCAAGAAACCTTAAGGATTTAGAGAAGATCTGTAAAGAGTGGGCCAAAATCCCTCCTGAGATGTGTGCAAACCTGGTAACCAACTACAAGAAACATCTTGCCTCTGTGCTTGCCAACAAGGGTTTCTCCACCAAGTACCAAGTCACGTTTTGCTTGGAGATCAAATACTTGTTTTACTCACTGAACTGCAACTCAATTGATAACATTTGTATTGTGTGTCTTTTATCATAGGCGTATTTAAAATACGCCTATAATAAAAAAATCTGCTTGCTATCTGTGTGCCTGTGTGACAATGCATGGGACTGAGTGACTCAACTGCGAACTGTTTGACAACGCATGAAATTGAATGACTGTGCTGAAAGCTGTGTGACAATGCATGGGACTGGGTGACTGCTGGGAGATGTGACAACACATGGGACTGCGTAACTGTGCTGGGAGCTGTGTAACTGATAATACAAAATCACTTGCACTCCATACAGCATACAGACCTTGAGTAAGAGGTTGGTGCTTGAAGTGAAAACACGGATGGCGACGTGTCAGATACAGTCCATAATAGCAGTCACCAGCACACGATGGTATGTGCAAGAAGTAAATCACTTTTTATTCAATCGTCACATGCGTCAAACAGCCAACGTTTCAGGGCCACGCAGGGTCCCTTCTTCTTGGCGACATAGTGACAACAACAAGTATGCAACTTCAGCTTAAATAGTGAATTACACAGAATACACCTATTAGGGAGCTGTGTGACAACGGATGGGACTGAGTGACTGTGCTGGGAGCTGTGTGACAACGCATGGGACTGAGTGACTGTGCTCGGAGCTGTGTGACAACGCATGGGACTGAGTGACTGCTGGGAGCTGTGCAACAACGCATGGGGCTGAGTGTCTCTGCTGTGGAGCTGTGCGACAACGCATGGGACTGAGGACTCTGCTGGGAGCTGTGCGACAATGCATGGGACTGAGTGACCGTGCTGGGAGCTGTGCGACAATGCATGGGACTGATTGACCGTGCTGGGAGCTGTGTGACAACGCATGGGATGGAGTGACTCCACTGGGATAGTGGAGCGCTATAGTACAGTACTAGGTGTGTTTGCATTCATTAGAATGGCACCATAATGATGTTTTTGGCAGCCATGCCGTGCTATGCAATGCTGAACAACGCATAGTAATGAGTTGCAGTGCATTGTGGTAAGAAAAAAGTTATGCATGCTTTGCTGAGGTTGAGATATATATATACATAAAAAATATGCTGGATATTTACTGTATACTGGACTGGATAATGTGTTAGGAACAAAAGGATGCCACATTGTTTGATGGAAATGAAAAAATTATCAACATACAGAAGGCTGAATTCAAAAACACCCCAAAAATCAAAGTGAACAAATGATGCAGCAGGCTAGTCCATTGTGCTGCAGCAACTCAAAATGGTACTCATTAGTTTGTATGCCCCCCACGTGCATTTATGAATGCCTGGGGCATGCTCCTAATGAGATGACAGATTGGTGTCCTGAGGTATTTCCTCCCGATCTGGACAAGGACATCACTGAGCTCCTGAACAGACTGAGGTGAAACCTGGCGGTGTCAGATGGACCAAGACATAATGTCCCAGAGGTGTTCTATTGGATTCAGGTCAGGCAAGCGTGGGGGCCATTCAATGGTATCAATTCCTTCATCCTCAAGGAACTGGCTGCATACTCTCGCCACATGAGGTCAGGCATTGTTGTGCACCAGGAGGAACCCAGGACCCACTGCACCAGCGTAGGGTCTGACAATGTGTCCAAGGATTTCATCCCGATACCTAATGGCAGTCAGGGTGCCATTGTCTAGCCTGTAGAGGTCTGTGCGTCCCTCCATGGATATGCCTCCCCATACCATCACTGACCCACCACCAAACCGGTCATGCTGAACGATGTTACAGGCAGCATAACATTCTCCACGGCTTCTCCAGACCCTTTCACGCCTGTCGCATGTGCTCAGGGTGAACATGCTCTCATCTGTGAAAAGCACAGGGCGCCAGTGGCGGACCTGCCAATTCTGTGTTCAATGGCAAATGCCAATCAACCTCCACGGTGCCGGGCAGTGAGCACAGAGCCCACTGGAGGACCTCAGGCCACACCAGTGGCCTGCTGTAAGTCATTTTGTAGGGCTCTGGCACTGCTCATCCTGTTACTCCTTGCACAAAGGAGCGGATACCGGTCCTGCTGATGGGTTAAGGACCTTCTATGGCCCTGTCCAACTCTCCTAGAGTAACTGCCTGTGTCCTGGAATCTCCTCCATGCTCTTGAGACTGTGCTGGGAGACAGAGCAAACCTTCTGGCAATGGCACGTATTGATGTGCCATCCTGGAGGAGTTGGCATGCCTGTGCAACCTCTATAAGGTCCAAGTATCACCTCATGCTACCAGTGGTGGCACCGACTCTAGCCAAATGCAAAACTAGTGAAAAACAGTCAGAAAAGATGAGTAGGGAAAAAAAATGTCAGTGGCCTCCACCTGTAAAACCATTCCTGTTTTGGAGATCATCTCATTGTTGCCCATCTAGTGCACCTGTTGTTAAATTTCATTAACACCAAAGCAGCGGAAACTGATTAACAACCCCCTCTGCTACTTAACTGACCTGATCAATCTCCTTAAGCTGCCCATACACCTTACAATTTATCTGCAGATTTCTGTGGTCAGATGGAAAAGGTGCAACAGATTCCTCCATCTACACTTAACTGTGTGGATGGAGTAATCTCCACCTGGGCCAATCTGTTGCACTTTTTCTTCTTTTGTGACCCCACGGGGGGTTATTTTATTTTTTACTATAAAAGTACCATAAATGTAAAAAAAAACAAAAAACACAACTTTATTGCTATTACATGGGGGGCTAAGAAGCCCCCTATGGGATAGCCAATTTACATGACAGGTCCTCTTTATGGAGACATCAGGGGTCTCCAAGACCCCTAATGTCACCTAGGGACCCCCAGAGAAGCTGATGAAGCAGAGATCGGCTTCATCAGCTTCTCTAGCTGGAGAGTGACACTGAATGCAGGAAGTGATGTAATATACATCACTTCCTGCATTCGGGGACTGAGAGGAGATCAAAGGGAGTTCGTATACTGAACTCCCTTTGATCTCCTGTCACAGAGCCGTGCCGGTCCCGGCCGCATCGGGCACAGCGGATCTCGGGACCGGCAACGGCAGGGACAGCTGCTAATACAAGCGATCGAGCGTCTATAGAGACGCTCGATCGCTTGACTGTGTTAAGCTCCCCGCCGGCCGTGTAATTACAACGGTCGGCCGGGAAGCTGCTCGTCGGGCTCCACCGTCCACTAAGCAAAAGTATTGGCACGCCTGCCTTTTACACGCACATGAACTGTAATGGCATCCCAGTCTTAGTCCGTAGGGTTCAATACTGAGTTGGCCCACCCTTTGCAGCTATAACAGCTTGAACTCTTCTAGGAAGGCTGTCCACAAGGGTGTAGGAGTGTGTCTACGGAAATGTTTGACCATTTTCCCAGAAGATTTGTGAGGTCAGGTACTGATGTTGGACGAGAAGGCCTGGCTCGCAGTCTCCGCTCTAATTCATCCCAAAGGTGTTCTATCGGGTGCAGGCCAGTCAGGTTCCTCCACCCCAAACTTGCTCATTCATGTCATTATGGACCTTGCTTTGTGCACTGGTGTGCAGTCATGTTGGAACAGGAAGGGGCCTTCCCCAAACTGTTCTCACAAAGTTGGCAGCATGAAATTGTCCAAAATGTCTTGTTATGCTGATGCCTTAAGAGCTCCTTTCATTGGAACTAAGGGTCCAAGCTCAACCCCTGAAAAACAACCCCACACCGTAATCCCCCTCCACCAAACTTTACACTTGGCACAATGCAGTCAGACAAGTACCATTCTCCTAGCAACCGCCAAACCCAGACACGTCCATCGGATTGCCAGAAAAAGAAGCGTGATTCGTCACTCCAGAGAACATGTCTCCACTCTACTTCTCTAGAGTCCAGTGGCGGCGTGCTTTACAGCACTGCATCCGACGCTTTGCATTGCACTTGGTGATGTAAGGCTTGGATGCAGCTGCTCGGCCATGGAAACCCATTCCATGAAGCTCTCTACACACTGTTGTTGTGCCAATCTGAAGGCCACATGAAGTTTGGAGGTCTGTAGCTATTGATTCTGCAGACAGTTGGCGACTACTGTGCACTTCAGCATGCGCTGACCCCGCTCTGTCATTTTTTTACGTGGCCTACCACTTCATGGCTGAGTTGCTGTTGTTCCCAGTTGCTTTCACTTTGTTATAATACTACTAATAATTGACCGTGGAATATTTAGTAGCAAGGAAATTTCACAGAACACCTGAATCCAATGATTTGGAGGGGTGTCCCAATACTTTTGGTAATATAGTCTATGTATATATATATATATATATCTGTGTGTGTATATGTATATGATTTTTGGTAATACGTGTGTGTGTGTGTGTGTGTGTAAAATGCACTGTCCGCTTCAGCATTGTGTCAGGGTTATTCACTGAAGGGTGAAGAGTTTGGATAAGGAGGAGAAGTGAACAATCTAGGACAACATAGCTGAACCAGAAAGTGAGCTGAATTGTCCTAGATGGTTCACTTCTCCTGCCTTCTCCAAACTCTTCACCCTTTTGTGAATAACCTTCTGTGTGTGATACAGCACTGCACATTCCCCGGATGGGCTGTATGGATGTACCTTCAGGGTGGGTGGCAACCATGTGTGGATAGGTGAGGGGGTGTGTACATTGAATACTGATACCGCCCTTAGCTCTGTCCATCTCCACTCCACCCATACTCTCTGTAGCTCTTCCCATCTCCAAGCTCCACTCCACCCATACACTCTGTAGCTCTTCCCATCTCCACCCTCAGCTTTGCCTATACACTTCTCCCACTTCCTCTGTTTCACAAAGACTCATGGCAGATGTAGGCAGCTCTTTGTTCCAGGATATGACACGTACTGGTTACAGGAAGGACTGATTTGTACATAGGAGGATGTGACATCACTGGCAGCTAAATACTAGGAATAGAAGAAAAGTAAGAACTTTAATGATAAATGGTTACAGCAGTTTGCTTCCTCTGACTGAGAGGGACAATAAATATATAACGTTGTGTCTCTCGGAGTTCTTCTTTAACCTAATGCAGATACATAGCATTTATTTGCTGGAATCCATGTATAATTCATGAAAATATCTTCAAGTTCTGCATAATAATGTCTGAAATATTTGACCATGTATATATTAAACCAATAAGCATAACACTAATTTGCCCTTGTAGAAATCCTCATCACTACAACCACGACACAGCCAGCTGCCAGCCAACCCTCAACGCAGCTTACCGAAGTGAACATCCCTCTCTCTCTGGGTGTGTGTCCCTTAGGCCCTGTCCCACTCACCACAGATCAGCTTTACCAACAAGCTATGCAAGAGGCTGCATGGCATCATATGCCACACCCATCAGATTCAGAAAGAATAAGGTATGTCACATTTATTTTGTTTAGTTTTTTCAGTCCTATTCACTTGTAGGTTTTGTATGTTTAATGTACTGTTATTGGGAGGGCCTATTGGGAATAATTATAGCTTCCTGCAGACATCACAGAAAGTAACCCAGATATTTGAGTGGATTGAGAAATGTTCATTTCTGTATTGTCAATTTAGGAACACAGGGTTCTGTTTATAATTCATGGATTTTGCTGTGGCTTACAGGAAGATTGGACTAAAGGCACAAAGAAAAAAAATAAACATGCCTGCCCCAGTTTTATTTTCTCCCACAAGAACCATTCTCAGTTAGCTGGATGTCTGTCTTTAGAGCTGCTTCTTCAAGATCTTGTGTGAGGGTTTTTTATGGGGGTTTTTTCCAGTCAAATGCGGCTGAGGTAGATTCAGATCAGATGTTAAAGTCGTATTAAACTCTCAAAACCTTTTTGTTTTTCAATAATGAATCCAGATCAAACACTTCTACAGTGGTCAGCAAAGCATTGGTCAGCAAACACTTAAAATCATCATGTTTCTGAACAGCTGCTTCCAAGTTTCTCAGCTCGGGTTACCTGAACTTCCTGTCCAGTACAAGATCACAAGGGACAGAGCTGTCTCCAGCAACTGTTCATCTACTAGGTTGGAGGAGAGTGGACCATGGGGGTAGGAGGGGTGGAGGGGGAAGTACCGTATTTTGCGGTCCATAAGACGCACCGGACCATAGGACGCAGGGAGGTCCGGCGCGCCTTATGGAGCACTCGAGACTGTAGCTTCTGTCACAGCTTCTATGACAGAAGCTGCAGTTAGTGACCGCTGAGACAGGTGGCGCTGTGATTACAGCGCCACGGTCTCAGTGATGACACAGAGCAGGCGAAGAACGTCTATTCTTCGTCTGCTCTATGGTTATCTCGATCGTCGCCGCTGCTCGGTTTTAATACGAGTGATCTCGTTAGATCACTCGTATTAAACGGGCAGTGGCTCCTGCTGCTGACCTCGATCGCCGCCGCCACTGCTCGGCTTTAATACGAGCGATCTCGTTAGATCACTCGTATTAAACGAGCAGTGGCTCCTACTACTCGCCCGGCGCCCGAAACTGCATGTCTCGGGCGTCGGGATTCGCTCCATAAGACGCAGGCACTTTTTCCCCCTCCTTTTGGGGGGAAAAAAGTGCGTCTTATGGAGCGAAAAATACGGTAGCTTGATTTGCTAGCACACACAAGGGTGACTGCATAGCACTCTACCTGAGAAAGAAGTCACTCTAAAACAGGAAGTCAGGACCATTGTTCAGGAGACCAGCTGATTCTTCAAGAAGCTAAAACTCTCAAACATGAAGGAGCAGCCATTGTATCTAATTTTTAGAGACTCTCTAATGACTGGCTTGGTACCGATGGATTGGCGCAAGGCCAATGTGGTGTCTATATTTAAAAAGGGATCAAAGTCTTTACCAAGTAATTACAGTCCTGTAAGTTTAACTTCAATAGTTGGCAAGATACTTGAAAGTTTGATCAAGGATCACATTCAATTGTTTTTGCTTGAAAAGAATAACATAAGCGATAGTCAGCAAACAAACTTACTTTCCTTTTATGGAGAAGTGAGTAATAAATTGGACAGCGGAATGGCTGTGGATATAGTATACTTGGACTTTGCAAAAGTGTTTGACAGAGTTCCCCACATGCGGCTAATGTATAAGTTAAGATCAATATAGGTATAGAGCAGTGGTTCTCAGCCTGTGTAACCTCAGGACCCACATTTGTCCTAGGTCATTAAGCTGTGACCCAAGCAATGGAATGCAGGGCATTGCAGTACCATGCGTTCGAGTGCAGGCGATCAGACTGTGGGTGGAAGATGCGTTTGGGGTGTCATTCAAATTAATGGCAATGCAATACATCTTCCACACCAGAACAGGCGATAGGTGTGATTGCGTGGTGCAGTGCATTAATCGCATGGGGCTGTGTGATTTAACACACTGTTCTAGTATGAGCAGACCCTCAAAAACACTGATAGACAAAATGTCACACACTCAGATATACACACGCACTCCAAAAAACATAATTTTCTTTTCTTTTTATTAAGATCCACCCAGTCTTTCTACCTTATGAGAACTGGAGTGAATCCTCGGCCTGGGGTCCAGTGTGGGCTGATGTGCTGTGACGGAACTCCATCCATATGTGCATGGCTTGTACAACTCACTTGTGTGCTCTGCAGAGGTGCCAGGAGCCAGAATGTGATGTCAGTCCAGTCCATGCTCCTCTACATGGCACCAGGGCTGTCTTTAAGGCAGGGCAAAAGGGGCACTTGCCCAGAGCCCAATCATTGTTGTGGGGCCCTGCACCCCATAAACTAGAGCTGCAAAGTTTGAAACGTTTCTGTACCAGCCGTCTAGTGTGCACTACCGCTTTCTGACGCTAGAGGGCAGCAGCCTCCTGTCCCACTCCCTATGTGCAGCAAAGATCTCTGCAGCCTGGGATGTCACCTCCCACTCAAAAGAGGAGGAAGATCGATTTTGCTCACACTGATTCATGGTCCTGCCCTCCTCCCTCCGTGGCTGCAGTCTCATCCTCCCCCTGTCCATGGTGAGTGCACATGACTGCTGGGTTGGGCTTCTATCTGGGTGGGGGGGGAGAAGGGGGTGGGAGTCCCCCAGTGTCATTAATATTATGTCCCCCCTGATGTCATTATTATTATGTCCCCCTGATGTCATTATTATTATGTCCCACCGGTGTCATGATTGTTATCTCCGTCCCTTGGTGTCATGATTGTTATCTCCGTCCCCAATGTCATTATTGTTATGTCTGTCCACAGTGTAATTATTGTTATGTCCGTCCCCAGTGTCATTATTGTTATGTCTGTCCACAGTGTAATTATTGTTATGTCCGTCCCCAGTGTCATTATTGTTATGTCCATCCCCTGGTGTCATTATTATGTCCATCCCCTGGTGTCATTATTAAGTCCATCCCCTGGTGTCATTATTGTTATGTCCGGGGATAATGACACCAGGGGGACATAATAATGACACCAGGGGGACATAATAATAATGAAACCGGGGGGGCATAATAATAATAGACACCAGGAGACATGCTCAGGTGTCATTATTGTTATTGCTGCTATTCTATGCAGTGGAAGTCGTAGGTGGCGAATTATCCACACATTTACCATGAAAGTAGAATTATGGGGAGAGTGAAATGCGCTCTACCCCCTAGTTACTGAAGCTGCCCCAGGTTGGCTCTCTTGATCGAGAACTGAGCGATCACATACCGCTGATCGCTCAGTTCCTGCACTCACTCTCTCTGCAGAGAGCGGTGACTGTCAGTCACGGCTCCTCGCAGGAATAGCCCCCTCCCCTCTCTGATCCTCCAACGCTGACTGGAGGGATGGATGGGGCAGACACAACATCTAAAGAGGTAGAGTCAGCTGTCAATCAGGTGGTGGGGTGGATCTGGACAATATTTTTTTGATCCATCCCAGCTGCAGCGTGGCTCTGCTCTGTCAGCATATAGCGGGCAATATTGCAGGGGGGGGGGCGTGGTGGGGGGCCCAAGAAAATGTTTGCCCGGGGTCCAATCAATATTAAAGACGGCCCTGCATGGCACATGTGGGAGCTGTAAGCAATGCACATAAGGATGGAGCTCCCTTATGGCTACCCTTCCAGCCCACCCCACCTACCCTTGAGCTTACATGCAGAGCCGGGCAGCATATTTTGAATGGCTGCTCAGCGCGAGAACTGACGGTGCTGCAGTAGGGGGAGGCTGAGGAGTCTCTCGCCTAGAAAAGTGGAAGGCATGTGGTGACCCACTGGACATGGGGTCGCGATCCACTTTTGGGTCACGACCCACCAGTTGAGAACCAAGGGTATAGCGTATTCAATCTGTAATTGGATAGAAAACTGGATTAAAGACCATATTCAGAGAGTGGTGATCAATGATTCATACTCTGAAGCTCTGAGGTTGATAGTGGTGTCCCCCAAGGTTCAGTGTTGGGCCC